GCATAGTGTGAAGATGGAGCTGTTTAAAGAAGCTCTGAAGAAGCTTTTCACTCAGGTCCAACAGAACTTAAGCCTCTATGTTACAATCATAGTAACTGCCAGCTACCACTTGGCATTTGAAAAGGATTTCGCCTGCTCCTGCAAGCCTGAGAACCAGCAGCATTCGGCCTGTATGATGCACCTGTTTCTGCCTGTGGCACTTCTGTGGGTGATCCTGCTCCTGAGAGACAAATGCTTCCAGTGTATCTGCTTCAAGGTATGGATCAGTGTCACTGCAAAATAATCTTATTCAAACCTATAGACCATATACTCGCTGTTCACATATTTACTTTACTATCTTATATACAGTTTACTTGGGGATGATCCAGATAATTTAATTTACAGTAATATGACTAAGTACAATTAAGTGTATAATGTTAATGCTGGTAAGGAATAGGTGCATACGCAATGATAAAAAAGGTACTATTTCATGCTCCTTCTTCTAGGAGTGCTGCAAAACCTACATGTGTGCATTGTGTGTGCGTGTGGTCCTTACACTGTGTGTCAGTACGATCTGGGTAGCTGCAGTCTTTATTGACGGAGACTGGTGGCTCTGCTGCTGCAACAATGGCACTGAGATCCAGGCAACAGTGGCCTGTAAACCCCCCTCACAGCGTTCCACAGAGGAGAAATCCATCGCTTCAGATCTTCAAAGTCGGTCCAGGGTGAGTCATGGACTATTGACTATAACACCATAATACAAGAAAAAGGTTAGTGCAAAAGTCTAGGGCAGAACAATACTGAGGCCAATTTCAACAGACTTTACAGTGTATGCTAAGATATAAAGTGAACACGTTCTGAGTGAGTCTCTGTGAGGATGGCAGCTGGCCTTCAGTGACAGCCAAAACAGATGCAATTTAAATTCATCCATTTCTCCATTATCAACAATCTGAATTATCAGTTACCTGCCAGACTCATTAAAGACGACTAAGGGACCCTAATGGCCGAGGCCTCAGAGCAAATTGATTTACTTTAAAATAATAACAATCATATGTAATGGATGCACACGTGAGTATACGCCGCATCAACTAAATTTTAACAAAATGTTTAAATTACATATATAGGCCGCAAGTTTGGGCCATCTGCTTTTATCGCCTCTGAAAGCTTTTGTTGTCTTTTTGCTTTGAGTTAGTTCGTCACACTGCTGTCGCCAAAGTCTCACCATCGACTCTTTGATGCCGAGCTCACATGCAGCAGCTCTGGTTCCTTCTTCCACAGCCACATCAATCGTTTAGTCCTGGTTTTCTATTCTCCAGTACTATGGTCTGGTGGTGCTTCTGGGAACCACAGCTTTAGCACTCCTTGTGTCATCTGTGCACTCATGTTGGATGCCAAACAACAGTGAACTCGCTGGGGTCATCTTAGAAGAGGGTCAAGAGCTGGTGTTCAATCGGCTGCACAAAGCCGCCCTGCAGAATCTGAGTGAGCGTGTGGAGACCCACGTGGAACAGAAAAAGTGGAAGGAGTGCACTGAGGAAGTGGGAAAGATCATCGAGGAGATGACGACATGCTCAGAGCAAACACCCCCACAGACCACCGGACGAGACCATTCCATTGGTGCGTTTTACAGTTTTGTGACTTTAAATCGGTTAATAATTGTGTACATTTTCATGTAAGCGGCATGAAAGGCGGGGCTTTTTGAATTCTCTGCTCAACAGATATATCAGATAATACACAAAAATAGTTTCATTTGGTTTGTTAAGTCAAACTCATAAAATGCACACCACATCTATTAAAAAAATAGATTATGATTAATTATCATGGACATCTATATTTTATGCTTTTTGTGCATTTTCCCCCTTGACCCTTACATGTCTTTGTAAAGTTTTGTCAGTGATTATGTTTAGTGTTAATCAAGAAACAATAAACACAATCCTAAAATAGCACAGAGACTGAACATGTAGTGATAGTGACCAAAATCACTCTTTGTGTTTGTTAGTGTGTGTGTGCATGTGCAGACATGAGCAGATGTGGCTGAAAAGAATGTAAGGAAATGAAAGAAAGCAAAATATTACACTAAAACACCTTTTACATGTAGTTTCAAATTTGCTGCATATTTAAGTGCTTAATGATACAAACGTGATTTTAAAAACATAGGGAAAAAGAAAGTTTAGAGGTGTGTTTATATCGCATAATGTCATAACTGTAATGATGCCGATACCATTTAATAGTCTCACAATTTTGTGATGAAAAGAATTTTACTCTGGAAAGAAAAAATGTATGTGTATCCTTAAAGTGTTATTGAAAAGTAATGCAGCTAGAAAGTAGTTCCACAGTTCACCTGTTCACTTACCTGATGAAGATCACTTTTTGTCTCTTGCCAGATGGTTTGTATTAAATGGTATCTCTATTTTTTAGATAGAGTGGAAAGCTGGATCTCCTGACACAACATGGAAGGGAGTGAAGACAGCTGGAGCTAGTGCAGGAGAAGGGACTGAAGACACGCATATATAATCTGCTTTTGGGTTTAATATTTTACCATTCATCACTCATTCACCTTTTGGCTGTTTTTCATGTAATTCTCAGAACATTTTTTTTTATTCTGTTTTCTGTTATTGTTCTTTATTAGACAATTAGACACATATCCCATTTCAAACCCACACTTGTGGATGTTTGCAGAATGTTGCATAATCAAAAGTTTCAGGAAACAAAATAAATGAAACTTAAAGACCCAGTGACTGAAACTTTAAAAAATATTATTGTACTTGGATATTCTTATAGCAGTACCTCTCTGTATCAAGCAAATTCTTTTGTCTGAAAAGACACTTGGTTTCTTAATGGTTCATTCTGTCTTCAGTTTTAAACTATTAAAATTTTGAGGGACCTCATGCTGAGGCCCTGGTATTTTTTCTTAATACATTTTTGATAAAAGCCTACTTATTTTTGATAAGATCAATCATTCTGAGAAGAATCTGGACCAATTTATACAAAAAATGCCACACAAATTTAATAAGACTTTTATATTAATTCCGCCTGTACATTTTTTTATTTTTTTTTTTCCTAATTACAATTACAAATCAAAGCTTAAGCAGATTTTAGTGAAATCTGCTTCAGCTTTGACATGTCAAGACCCAACAAATGCTCAATCTATAGTCTATTAGCCCCAAGGATATCAGTTATACCATTCTCATATTTACCCCAAATAATTCAAGCGCAGCTTAAAATCTGACTTTCCTCTGTGTAGAACTTGTTCCCACTTGATATGAGAGCGAATCAGACAAAACTACAGAGCCTCAGCTTCACAAAGAGTCAACCATTTGTCTGTGCTATAAAGGGTTCAGAAACAGATTCAGGCTGAATTGAGAGTAATTTTCGTCAAACATTTTAGGAAAAACAAGTCAAAAAAGTAAGAGGTACTATTAAATAACAGCTCCTTTTTGTTAGAGTTTGTTTACATTCTTTATAAGTTTCAGTGACTTCTGTAGCCTTCCTCAGAAGTGTCATGTGATGCTGTAGTGACATGTCTTGTAAGCTGCTTTACTTGGTTTTGTTAGACAGTAGGGGAAGCTTAGACTGTCTACTGTCTGACTCCAGGACTGCATGCCATGTGTATAAGGTGTAGGCTCTCTTGTCTCGATTCATGCTCCTTGGACCTGGTTTTCGGATCTGGCTGGCCTCTCTGATCCAGCACTGGTATTTGTTGTTTTCAGCACCTGATAGGTCTGGCATTATGTTTCGTTGCTTGTTCTTATGTGAGGCCTCTGAGGAATTTTACAGGAAGTAGCTGAACCATAATAAAGACACTTCCTGACCAGATTGTATCGAGCTAGAGCAAGAATCTACTAAACTCTGTGACTTATGCGAAGTGTGGATATTGACATTGTGTTTGCTCTTGTGGTTTAGCTGCATACTGTGTAGCACTTTTGTCTCATTAAATAAACTTTTTTTTTTTTTTTTTACAAAAATATTGAAAATGATGGATTCTGTTATACATTTATATAATTATGTTTTATTTGATACCAGTCTCTTGCTATTTTTGCTACTTCTTTTTAATTCATTATTGCCATTTATATTTTTGCTCTTTGTTATTATAATATATTGTGATCTGTGAGCTACTGTGTCCAAGAAATTAACCTTGTGGATCAATAAAGTTTGTTTAAGTCTAATGTGGTGTTTTAGTTCTCCAGTTATCCATTCGCCATCCATGCACTCATTTGGGTTACCAGTTTAAATGCTGAAATCCATATCCATTGAATATAAACTTAAAAGGACTCTCACTATACCTGATCCCCATTCATTTGTGTTTGTAATACCTTTTTAAAAGCAGAAGGTACAGGGTCCCAAACTGTAAACTGAACAGATTCAAACATTCTTTTGTGCCATTAGCCGTTAAACTGCTAAACTCAGATAGTGCAGTTAAAAAATAAATGTAAAAGGCTTAGGGAATGTGCAATCAAAACTGCACATAGGTTTAGGGAATGTGCAATCAAAACTGCACATAGGTTTAGGGAATGTGCAATCAAACTGCACATAGGTTTAGGGAATGTGCAATCAAAACTGCACATAGGTTTAGGGAATGTGCAATCAAACTGCACATAGGTTTAGGGAATGTGCAATCAAAACTGCACATAGGTTTAGGGAATGTGCAATTAAAACTGCACATAGGTTTAGGGAATGTGCAATCAAAACTGCACATAGGTTTAGGGAATGTGCAATTAAAACTGCACATAGGTTTAGGGAATGTGCAATTAAAACTGCACATAGGTTTAGGGAGTGTGCTATTATTAACAGAAAAGAAGAATGCAAAGGGCTTGCCTGTAAAGAATGTTTTAAAAGTCCTGTTGGTGCATCACTCGTGGTCATACTTGGTTTCGTATCTGTTTCTGTTCTATGGTGTTTGTTTATGTGGTGCTTTGTGTTGTGTTGTCCTGTTTTTTGACAAGACTCAAATCTTATCTTATCTTATCTTATCTTAAAAGCATTCAGGCCTTTAACAATGATTCCATTCATACAAATCTTGGTTTCGGAAGAAAGCACAACTTTAATGTCTGTTTGAGATGGGAATAGATAAAATAAGAATTGTACATTGGTGTGCATCCAGAGGTACAGAGGGATAATGCACTTGCAGGACTACAACAATGTTTCACTATAAGTTTCCATCTATGGGCATCTGAGTCCAAATCTGAGCCAGAATCACTACTCATACTTCCACCATTCATCCTCAACAAGTTTACTGAATTAATTAATTTAGTAATTTACACACAAAATGAAAAATGGAATTTAATCTGATCCATTAAACATTCATAAAAAGGTTAAAAGGCTAAGTAAATAAAAGTTGACAATGAGCAGATTTAGCCTGGTTTCAGATCTGGGTATAGTTCTGGTTCAGTGCTTGGTTAGATCTGGTTCAGTCATGGTTTAGTTTGGTTTTGTCCACCTGTTTGGACTCACTTCAGTCCTGACCTCCTCCTGGTTTGATCCTTGTGTATCTTTCACTAGTTTTATTTTATACACCATCTGCGTTGGTAAGGGAGCTCATGAGAACCGAGGTCTGAACTTCGGTCGGTGCTTTGGTTTGGGAAAGAAGCAACTCTTTCTCCAGCTCCTCCCACTTCCTCCAGTCGGCTCCTGATTGGTCCACTTTGGCTCGGAGCTGCTCTCGAGCGATGGTTCTCATTTGCTGACCCATCGTGAGCTCAACCTCCTCCAGCACCGCCTCTGACCAATCAGAAGAGGCAAAGGAGCACCAGCGCTCCCATGGCAGCCAAGACAAGATGGCCCCTGCGAGGAACATCGAGAGCACAAGCAGGAGTCCGATCACCTGAGGATAGAGGATAGGTTTATGATTATTTGAAGAAAGTGTTCACCTTTTGGCGTTTTTATTCTATTCTGACTGTGAATTGGAAAAGTATCTTGTCTATGTGATTTCTGATGGGCGTGATTGACAGGTGAAAGAAACACATGGGCGGTCAAAATAAACATGGCAGATTACGAATACAAAAATAAGCACTGGGAAACAGCGAGAAAAAAGCACTAAACTCTGTATTTTTATCTCAGGTACGAGAGGTTATATAATTTATTCTAAATGATTCAAATATTTTAGAGGAGATGGGAAGGAGGCCCTGAGGAAGACCCAGGACATGATGGAGGGACTACCATATTTTCCTTACTATTGGGCGTGCTCTTAAGCCTCCAGCCTCATCAAAACAGGACTGTGCACCCCACAATCCAGAGTGTGATTCCACTCGGGTGTCCCAGCACAACTTCAGTAAACTACAAACCCGCAGTGCACGCAAATACACACGGAGCAGACAGCGACCACACAGCGAAAAACACCCACAGCCACACTCATCACTCCACGCGGACGAGGAATGGAATGGAGGAACAAACTGAAAAAGCGAATCTAATGTGCCACTTCTAGACACAACTGAACAACTGAGTCACTGCGAACACGGCGACAATCCAATGGTCCCCAGACAGCACCCTCCCTACACGCCACAACTGAACAAAGCCAAGAGTCACTGTGAACGCGCCAAACAAAGTCTGACTGAGCCATCCAGTTTAAAGTCCAGTGCGGTTTATTTGTGAAAAAAGTTTGAAAATAGACCATTCAATGACAGTGCGCTTTATAATCCAGAGCGCCTAATAGTGCGGAAAATACGGTATGTCTCTAGGCTGGCCTGGGAACGCCTCGGGGTCCCCCCAGAAGAGCTGGAGGAAGTGTCTGGGGTGAAGGAAGTCTAGGAGTCCCTGCTTATACTTCTGCCCCTGTGACCCGGCCCCGGATAAGTGGAAGAAAATGGATGGATGGAGGTGTTTACCAATTGAGAGACATTTGATACGAATTGTCTTTTTTAAATTTGTTTATTTTCTTTGTCTAATTTGTTTTGGCTTTGTAAAATCTTAAAATGGATAAAAAAGTTGAAGGTGCATTGTGTTTTTTATTGGAGGGTCTGTCAAATGCTTTCCCCCATGGAGATGTTATTCCTTTGTTTGGAATGTTCAGATCAGATCTGTGGAGAGACGACCCTGCTCACAGTAAAATGCCTGTTTTTGCAAGTATTTTTGAAATATAAAACCACCTGTAATTGAATAAATATAAGGTAGAGGTCTTTAATGACATACTGTGGAATATTCAGTCAGCAGTATCTGTCCTCATAAGGTTATCACGAGGATTTCAGCTTTACCTTTAACATTAAAAGTAATTTGTGTTAGTTTAGACTCATAATAAGACCTGCTGCTTACTTACTTGAGGTACATTACTAATCTTTGTCACCGTTAAACCAGAACCAGGTGATGTTCACACAGTAGAATTTTCCTCTATTGCCTGTTCCTCTTGCGTTACTGAATGAAAGATCTGAGAAAGTCCAGACTTACAGTCACTTCCTGGGAGGAGGCCTGAGGTGATCCTTGTGAAATTATTTTGAAACAAACTGTGCTTCTCTGTCAATATGCAAAAAATTCACTTTTTTTTTTTTTTTTTGTCTTTGTGACATATGTCTCTGAAAAGTGCTATATAAATAATAAAACATACTTACTTTTTTCCCCTCATTGTTTTTGATTCGCTTTCACTTCTCCCAAATACAAACCACATATTTGAATGGGCCTAATGTTACTCTATCCATCTAATACTCCCACCCCCACCTAGGACTTATTCTCTCTCTCTTTCTGTTTGTCTCTCTCTCTTTTTCTCTCTATTTCTCACTCTCTCTCTCTTTCTCTCTGTCTTTTTCTCTCTCTCTCTTTCCCTCTATCCTCTCTCTCTTTCTGTCTCTTTCTCTCTCTCTAGGTCTCTCTCTCTCTGTCTCTTTGTCTCTGTCTCTTTGTCGCTCTTTTTTTCTCTCTGTCTCTGTCTCTGCCTCTCTCTCTCTCTCTTTCTCTCTGTATCTTGGTCTCTCTCTATGGATATGGTTTAGTCCTGGTATAGTTTTCACCTAGGACTTGTTCTTTCTCTCTTTCTGTCTCTTTCTCCCTCTGTCTCTTTGTCTCTCTGTCTTTGTCTCTCTCTCTCTCTCTTTCTCTCTGTCTCTCTCTATTTCCCACTTTCTGTCTCTCTCTCTCTCTTTTTCTGTCTCTTTATCTGTCTCTCTCTCTCTCTCTCTGTCTCTTTCTCTCTGTCTCTGCCTCTCTCTCTCTCTTTCTCTCTGTATCTTGGTCTCTCTCTATGAATACAGTTTAGTCCTGGTATAGTTTTCACCTAGGACTTGTTCTCTCTCTCTTTCTGTCTCTTACTCTCTCTCCCTCTGTCTCCCCTCTCTCTTTTTATCTCTATTTCTCACTCTCTGTCTCTTTCTCTCTGTCTCTCTGGATATGGTTTCATCCTTGTTTTGTCTCACTAGGACTTGTTCTCACTCTCTTTTTCTCTCCCTCTCTTTTCTCTCTGTCTCTATCTCTCTCTTTCTGTCTCTTTCTCTCTGTCTCTCTCTCTGTCTTTGTCTTTCTCTCTCTCTGTCTCTTCGTCTCTGTCTCTTTGTCACTCTCTTTTTCTCTCTGTCTCTACCTCTCTCTCTTTCTCTCTCTCTCTCTCTCTCTCTGTGTGTGTTTCTCTCTCTCTCTCTCTCTCTCTCTCCGTGTGTGTGTTTCTCTCTCTCTCTCTCTCTGTCTCTTTATATGAACATGGTTTAGTTCTCACCTGGGACTCGTTTTTGATCTCATCATAACTCGGTCTCTGATTGAAAATATCGTTGTAGGGGTAGATGCCACAGCGGATATTTCCTCGCCCACAGCAGATGTACCAGTCGGCGTCCAACAGCAGCGACTGCACCCAGAGGAGCCCCACGAAGCTCGCCTCCAGCACCCGCCTGATCAGGACCGGGAGCACCTTAGCCCGCACCGCACCTGTCACATTGAACATTCACACAGATACAATTATTTCTCTAAAAAAATCTGAATCTGACAAAAAAATAAAAATAAACAGGACCATGAACACTCCTATTCATCACAGACTCCTGAAAATGTGTTGTTCAAATAAATAAATTTTGTATTTTTCAGTTTATCTTAAAACTTTTTTGGTAGTTATTGTTCATGTGTGCATTATGTCACCATGGTAACTGCCAAACATTCAGCCATAGGCATACAGGAAAAGCACCACAGCACGATATCATTGTAAAGTATCATGAAAACACAGTGTTAATTGCTGCTAAAATAATTCAAAACAATGTGACCTTCTTTTAACTTTATTTAGTTTTTAATATTTTGTCTGTAAATAGATTTTCTGCCATCGTGTATTGTGTCCTATTCTATATGTTAATATATATATGTGTGTGTAATTTTTTTTTGTTACTCATAAATTATTGTAATATAATTCATGATTGTGTCAACTGACCGAAAATAAACCAACTAACTAACGAACTAACTCCTACACTTGTTTATTCAAGGGCGTAGGTTTGCATAGGGAAGGTGGGGACATGTCACAACCAATATTTGGGGAAGGCAAAATAGTCCCTACCAATATTTGACATTTTATTTTAATCAACAAAAATATTTATTTATTCCAATATTTTTCCAAACTCAATAGCATAGTGAACTAAAAACACGTTTTAGTTCACATTTTGTTTATTAGATGTTCTGAGATGTATTCAGTGATATGACGATAGGGTTACTCCTGCTGCTATTTCATTGGCTGTAACAGAGTGATGACATTAGTGGAACCAGGAGCCTAAACTGGGGAAGCGGCAGGACAGGACCGCACCTGAAGATGTCGGCTTGAGCAGGCGTGAGTGAAGACGCTGCGCACCAAACTTTAAAAAAACTTTTCAAAAGGAACTTACTTGGCTTCATCTTCATTTAAACTTGCCTTATAATGAGTCGCTTCGGAAAAAGAGCGACTGTCACCACAAGTGCACCTCCCAAACAGAGTCCTACTCGAGCGCTGTTAACAGCCCGACTCTATTGACAATATTCCATGGAAAAATGTACAGTCATTACCTCACAAATATCTCATCACCAACAAGGAAAGGGAAATCTGCTACAAACTTCTACATCACTGTTATCCATTGAAGAATCATCTTAGAAGGACAATGGACTCAAACTGTACATTTTGCGAACTGAAAAATGAAACCACCTCTCACTTATTCAGTGCACTAGATCCCACTAATGCATTTTGAGAGCAAGAATTTTATAGGCTAATGTTATTTGTTATCTGGAATGTTTTTCTGTTGCACAAGAGCTCAAAATGTTCTTAAAATTAAAAAAAAAAAGGGAAAAAGTAAAGTGTTGTAGTATTCAGCAAAGAAAAAACAGTGTGTACTTCATGATATTATTTTGAGTGTGACAGACATACCTTGGCCACGTCCGTAGAGATATCTCATACCTCGAGCAAAAACCAGGTCCACGCAGAGCTGGACCACAGTCAGAATTAGAGCAGGGGCCAGGAGGTAAACCCGGCAGTCCCTCGCTTGGGACAGACAATAACAGTTCATATCTTTTTCCAGTCGTATGTGGTAGTAGTACAGACAGAACAGAGTGAAGAGAAAGAACCAGCGCCGAATCAGCACCTGCAGCAGCCACAGCAGACAGCTCCTGATGGACTCCATGTGGGACTCTGGCGGAGGACGGGATTAGAACAGCTGAGTGCAGGAGGGAGTCTAAGAGCTCACACGCACAAACACGGAGATAAAGATGAAGACAAGGGGAAGAGGAAGCTGGTTCAAACCGCCAAACCCCAGAATAAAGGTGAAGCATGAGAAATACAAGGCTTTGATTCTGGTTGCTTCAGTCTTAGCAGCGTTTGCGAAACCTTTCAGAGACATCATGTGCCATTGCAATATTTTGTAGAGGCCTATAAAGCTGTTGATATGCGACTTTTTCCTCTGAAAATGCCTTGAAAAACTTAATCCAAAGAACTAAAACTTAAAACTGCTTAGAACTGTTATTTCTTCTTGTAGTTTGCACTGAAATGGAGCAAAGGATCATGGTCTATGTAGTTCTATGTTCTATATAGTCCTTTAGACTTGTAATTCGAGATATTGTGATGGTCCACGATATTATTGTGAGAACTTTGATGACACGATATCACGATATTTTGGTTATTGTTACATCCCTACTTATAAGGCTTCACATGTAGTAATTTTTTTCATCAAAAACAAGTGTATACATTTTTTTCTAGCTGTTTTTATTTGTATATTTGTGTTTGCTCAAATTATGAAGGCTATCCATCAATTTTCTTCTGCTTATTCAGGGCTGGGTTGCTGGGCCAGCAGTCTAAGCAGGGACTCCCAGACTTCCTTCACCCCGGACACTTCCTCCAGCTCCTCCATGGAGACCCCAAAGCATTACCAAACCAGCCCAGAGACATAGTCCCTCCAACCCTGGGTCTGTCCTGAAACTGAACACCTCAGCCAGCTCCTCTAGACACGAAGGAGCAGCGGTTCTACTCCGAGCTCCTCCCGTGTGACTGAGCTCCTTATCCTTGTATCTGCAATCTCGTGCTTTCGGTCATTACCCAGAGCTCATGACCATAGGTGAGGGTAGGGATGAAGATTGAGCAGTAAAATCGAGAGCTTTGCCTTTCGAGTCAGCTTCCTCTTCACCACAATAGTTCGATACAGCAACCGCATCATTGCCGACGCAGCATGAAATTATGAATGTGTTAAAAATGAACACCTCATCCTTTTCAGCAAGTCTAAAGCTGTAATGAAAAATACTTTTATTTTTGAGTCCAGTTCAAAAATGTAGTGGAGTAGAAAGTACAGATACCTGCCCTCAAATGTACTGAAGTAAAAGTAAAAAGTATACACTGTAAAATGTACTTAAATAATGTACAGAGACCTAAAAAATATACTTAAGTACAGTGCTTTGCTCCTTTTACTTTATCACCTTCCATCCCTGGTCATGCTATTATATTCGTGGGTCAGAAATAAAATGTAGAGTAAAATGAGCAAAAAGCGGCAGCAGTAAAAACAATTATCATCATCCATTATCATCTTCATCATCATCATCATCATCATCATCAGTACCATAATCATCATCATCTTCATTATTATCATCATCCTCCTCCTATGCATCAACAAAATGTCACAGATTTCAGCAAAGACCGTCCACAAACTGCATATGTTGTTTTTAGTTTGCACCTGTAATGTTTGACCTTGATGAATAAATGGGCCCCTCAGTGTGTGCGGCGTGTGCGGCGTGTGCGGCGTGTGTGGCACATAAACAATTATGACTGAAGATCGCGGCAGGTCCTGATGCCCACTTTAAGAACTGTTCTAGATCATGGTCCCAAAGAAAAGGAGGATTGTTTCAGTGTGTCTTGGTTGAAGAAAGTAATAGTATTTCTTTGTAAAATACAGGATACAGTCAAAAGAGAGGAAAAAGAGGCACAATGCATTCTGGGTCCTGTAGTTTTTATTGTGGAATGGAATATACACTCTGTGCTTTGACAGTGTTTTCATTCATCTATTCATCTGTTCATGGAACTCCACTCTGTTGTCTGCAACAAATAACTCAAAATCTGGAAAGATTCTTTGTTATACAAATACAAAAAAAAAAAAAAACTAAATGAAAAAACAAACAAACCCAGAAACAATCTCACAACAGATAAACCTGGAAACAGTGCTCGGATTCTTGTCCAATCCAGGAAATAAACAGGACTAACAAGACTAAAACTAAGTCTAATGTAAGGCTAAATCTGGTCTGAACCACGACTACAGCAACTCTAGACTTGACTTTAAACTGAACTGAAAATAAATGACTGCAACAATTTACACAGGACACATTTCTCTTTCTATAGATCATGAAAACTGAAAACACACTTTGAGGCAAAAAACACATAACGTTTGATGTTTTCAGGTTACAATAAATGGCACAATAATTAAAATAAATAGTTTTGAAAACAGCATTGTGTGGTTGTCCTTAATAGAAACACAGGATTTGCTCATTTTTAATCTGTCCAATAAATATGTATGACATATTAAACAATAACACACATAAAAATAATAATTTAATAAGTATAAATTATCAGTAAAATATAATGAACAGGCAAAAGAATGTTTACAGCAAGAGAGTGGAGTCTTAATATACCTACAACGGTATCACACATGCAACTGCAGACCCACAAGACCAAAACTAGAACTATGACAGGTCTAAATCAGATCTAAACCAGGTCTAAACTGAGTCTAAACCAGGATTAAACCAGGGCCTAACAGGTCTTGTATCTTGTGTGTCTCTTTTTCTGTCGTTTTGACAAAAATCTTTTTTGGTGCAGACAAATCAGAAACAGGAAAAACTAAAGCCCATGCAAAAGCAGAACCAAAGCTCTGCGTGATGGGACCAAACAGGATCAGACCAGGTCCAGACCAAGACCAGACCAGGATCAAACCAGGACTAGACCAGGACCAAACCTGAACTAGACCAAACCAGACCAAGACCAGACAAGGACCAGGTTCAGCCCAAATCAAAGCCTGAACCCGCCCAGGACCAGACCAGGACCAGACCAGAACAAAGACCATGCCCCGACCACGACCAGACCAGGACTAGACCAGGACCACATAAACTTTTACGAGCTTTTAATCATGTAAGAGTGTTCAGTTACAGAACTCTGCGTTGTATTTCAGTTGCTTCATGTTTGAGTTATCCGGTCTTGTCTTGCGTGAAGTAAAATGCCACTATGATGCAGTTCTGTTTGGAGCAGAAGTCAATGGACCCGTCTCTATTATGAAGCCGTTTTAGTCCAGCATTGCTCTTTACAGTTCACATAAAGTTAAATATTCATTGTTGTATGTTATAGTTTAATTCTAAATGCCCAAAAAAGCACAATATACTGTATCTTTTGCCTTTGAACATGTTTCATTCACAAACCCAAATGGCCTAAATGGCGCCATCTCCTGACAACTAGAGGTGTATAATATCAGTTTCTCTTGATGGTTAAGGCAGATGCAACAGTTAAAGGCCCCACTGCCTCACATGTTTAGCTTTTAAACATGTAATAGTCTAGATCCTTCTGTCCCACCCAGAGATGAAACTGAAGTGAGAAAGACAGCGCAGGTATTTAAAAAATTAATGTATCTGAACCGTTGTGTGGTCATAGTACATGTAAACAAAAACTGAAACCTGGATGTTTACATTCCAATCTGTGATAAAATTAAAAATAATACTAAAGGTTCACATCCCCTCCTGATTTAGAGCTGGTCTGAGTCCTGGTCCCGGTCTGTGGCAGTAGTGCTACTTCTACTGTCTCTATGAGGTTCATGCAGGAAGTCCGGAATCACGCGGCTCCTATTTTCTTTATTTTCAGGATTCATTGGAAGATGCAGGTGATGTTTATGATACAAAATATGTTACAATATGTACGATTTTTCCTCTCATTTGATAATGTCACTGACAGAAGAGACGCTGGGATAAGCTCTTGTATTTTCAAACTAATTTCAGAATTTATATGAATTTTTCTGTTATATAAATTAGATTTCCTCTGTGATATGGCCATGATAATGAATTTGAAAGGTGGACAGAATAACTTTTCAGGTAGCGAGTCAGCTACCAGCTTGTCTTTAAGCCAGTTTTATTGCTTTGACAAGAATCATACGTTGTAGGGCATTAAACTTATCTATCTTGTTGGAAACAAACAGGTGTCACTAGTTCAACTTAAAGGGCCCATCTGATGCAAAATAACTCTTTTCATATTGTATCTTCTGCACATATACAAACACAATTTGGATTTTGGAACATCCATTACACAATAGTTATGAAATCTTACTGATTTCTTGGAGACATCACAGACCAGGAACTGTGAAAGACCGACTATTGCTCATCCCCCCGCCCGTCCTGAGAAAGCACAGGCTCCGCCCTCCAAACGTGATGTAGGCTCTGAGTGAGTCGCCCTTCCTCCGCCCATCTCAGGGAGGGAGGGGGAGACAGGCGTGCACCCTGATAGTGGTTTGAATAAATTTTTATTCATCATGGCGATACAGCGTGTTCAGCCGCATGTGTTGGACCTGCAATCGGACGAGGACTTGGAGGTGCACGAAGCGCAAGCACCGCGTCGACATCAGCTGAACATTACTGATTGGTAAAGTATTAATAAGCGCTAGTAGATAAACTTATTATATCATGTTCACTGCAGTGTAGAACAATTAGCTTTTGCTGTCACTTTTGTTTTGGTGTTCATGTAGGAATTGTCAGCCGATGCCCACAGAAACAGAGAGTGGGGGACGGGGGCGGATGCGAAGTGCCTTCTGCTACGTCAAACGCGTCATAGGTGTAGCTGGCCATGTCATCGTTGTAGCAGCTTTAGTCACATGGGAGGGTGGCAGAAATACGCTGCAATTTGCTAAAAAAATGCCGAATCAATCTAAAAACCACTTCAGCGACATATACACGGCCGACACATCACTCTTAGAAGGTAGAAAGCTCTGAAAAGCTGATTTTGCATGAGATGGGCCCTTTAAATGTCAGAGGCGAGTCCACTCACAGTAAAATGCATGTTGTTTTACCAATGAAGATACATGTTATGAAAAAACTATACTCCAGGCAAAACATCTCTGTTGGGACAAGCAGGTAGCGAACCCTCCACCACAAAAGGAGCTCAATGTATTTCTAAAAATAATCATTAATTATCTCTTTTATTTTTACAAACTATGTATGTATCTTAATCGGTCAAATGTTTAAGAGCTTTTGTTCCCAGCGTTTCCTCTGAATATTGCAGAAATGTGTCCACTCACCACACAGTTCATATGATCATTATGACAGATATTACTT